TTATATATATATATATATATATATATATATATATATATATATATATATATATATATGCATATTAATTGTAAATGTATATGCAGACAAGTATAACTGCACATGCATATACATATGTACATATATGCACGTCTCATAGATGCATATAAAATTGTGTTAACGAGGCAAATGCAAATTAGTTCTGCCACTATGAAAAGTGATAAGCGAATATATATGTATGTACATATTTTCACCATTAACATTGGAGTTCATCTGATCATACATCAATATATGGTTGCCAAATATGTATGTATGTATACATAAGTATCTGTCACCGACGAGCTGACTTGACTCATAATTATATCTCTTGGGTACTTTAAAAGTCCCAAACAAAATTCTGGGCGAAACCCTCAAAAATTTTCTTTTGTATATCAAATGCATCTACTCTATTCGTGGGACCCCTCTTATTATCTATCTGTTTCACGTATATGTATATGTTAACATTCACATAAAACTCTAACTGTACATCCCATTAAAGTTTGGAACAGTCATCAATAATTGTGTGTATTATTTATTTATTTATAGATCGGTTCACTGCTGCAGCGTACAAACTTCTTGATGAATACTCCGCGCGGTGATTCCAACTACCGCATCAAGAGCGTAGCTCTAATGGAGTTTCGAAGGGAGAAGTATAATGCCATCGACGAGAAGCAGCGACAAACTGATTATGCTGCTGTCAGCAATGTGACGGATGCTACGCAAGATGGTCCGATTGCCCAAAGTAAGCTATACCCATGCACTTCGATCCTTGTGCTTGGTTATTGATTTTTTTCATGGAATCATCCGTTTGGTGTCTTGTTTTTGTTGACCAGAATACGTGCTGGATGAGGAGGCCGAGTCAATTCCATTGAAATATCAAAAAACGCAAAGGCAACATCGCGATTTGGACTTTGAGTTAAGTTCGATGGGTTGCTACATTTGTCAATGCAACTTTGATAGCATTGAGAAGTATGAGGAACACATCGAATACCATGGTGATGAGTCGGACTTTGAGTCGTTGCAGAAAATGACAAAGTAGTAAGTGTTATTCAGATAATCTAAGTAGAATGTATATAAGAAAACAATCGAATCTTTGAATATATTTTTTACAAATTGTAAACTATTTATAAAACAATAGTATTACATATAAATGATGTATGTAGAATGTTATCTGATAGCAAACTGTTGTTATTAGGTTATATGTATTTTATAGAGTGTGTTTGTCTAAAGCTCATGTATATTATTCATTTTTCATTTGCTAGTCTCAATTGCGTTGAATGTTTGTGAACTTGCAATTTGTTACTATTTTAGAATACTTTACTATTTATTCCCTGAACCCCACAGCCCCATTGTTTTTGTTGAAATGTATGTAACAGGCAGAAGTACGCCTGGCAGACCGCACAAAGAATATATATTCTTGATCAGGGCGACAAGCTGAGACGATTTGGCCTTGTCTGTCTGTCTGTCCGTATGTATGAACGCGTCGGTCTCAAAAGATATAAGAGATAGAGACTTCAATTGTTTTTAATGTTCGTATATATAGCGTGCATATCGAGCTTCTCTCCAAAAATCGATAACTCATCCCGTTATTTTGTTATCGATTAAAAACCTTATCGAAAATCAGTTATACAAATCTATTTCTATACATTATCTATATTTGGATACATTTTATACAATTTAAATTTTTGTTAAATTTACCCCCAACCCCTATATCCACCCCCTCACCACACATTAAATTAAGCCGCCAACGCGTGTTTATGCGTGCGTACGCGGGCCTGTATATGTACATATGTGCGTGTGTGTGTGATTGTGCGCATAATTATTGAAATATCAGTTGCTCGAAGGGTTCAGGGGATCTCGTAGTCGAGCAGTCTCGACTAGAGCTTTTTTACTTGTTATGCTATGTAGTTATTAGCGTGTAGTTTGGTTTACTTATAAAGAGATCTCTCACTCTCTCTACTTTCAGTAGCCAGCCAATGTTGAAACTTTCGTATAGGACCTGCGTTGATAGTCATTATTTTGGTTTTACGCTGGAGACGCAGCTAAAGGATATTGTGATTGAGAAATTTACCATTGTGCAGTCGCGTCAGTTTTATTACGTCTACAACAATCGATTGCCATTGGAGGTGACCGAAAGTGGGCAACTGATCTTCTTTGTCGACTCGCACGTCTTCACGATACTGCGTGAACAGCCGATTGTAATTGGGTACAGTCAGCTGGTGAATGGCCAGCGCCATTATTATGTGGAACAGCATCATTTTATGCGTACCGATGCGTTGCCGAAGGCCAGCTTTGATGTAAATCCCTATCGGCTGTCCAGCAAGAAGTTGTTTCGTGGCGGTCGGCTAGAACCGGCTATACCACCAAAGCCGGTGGTTACCGCACTGAAACATGATGCGGAAGACGCCCAAGTTCGATTATCTGAATACAATAAGGATTATCGCAACTATTGTGAGTTGGGAGAGTTCACGCAAAGCAATATTTATGGGACACTACGCACCCTGCTCCAAGTTGAGGATATTGAGCGGCTGCAATGCTATGTTGCCCTTAAGCAATCCAAAATGGAGCTGCATCAGTTCGGCAAAGAGTTGTCCGTTAAATTGCAGCCAAATTCCAGGAATTTAAGTGCCGAGGATATCCTCTCGCCTGGCGATGATGTCCTTATCATCAACGAGCGTTGCACGATTACTCAGTCAGAGACGACGGGCAAAGCGAACAGCATCAGACAGCTGTTGGATAATAATGGTCTGATATTGGAATTAGCACTCAAAGATTTCGATGCGCTCATTCAATGGGGCCAGAAGGTCAACGAACAGTTTGGCGTACCCGAAAAGGATCGTCGTGAGCCCCGCGTCTATTTTGCACGCATCCTGGGCGTGTCGACGCAACGCGTCAATATCACCTGCGATCGTCATTTGCTAGACAACACCACGTATACGCTGCTCTTTCGACCCGTGCGAGCTGTTCTCCGATATCAATATCGGGCTCTACGTCAATTAAAGCTCAGCAATCCAGAGCACGTGGACCGTTTGCTGTTCCCACCTTCGATTATGCGACAGCCGGTAGCCAGAGGTGCTTTGTGCTTGTATAATGAGAATATTGGACATAATCCGGAGCAACAGCAGGCGGTGCAGCAAATTACATTTTGTGACAAGCTACCGGCTCCTTACATTGTCGTTGGGCCGCCCGGTACTGGAAAAACGGCGACAATTTGTGAGGCCATCTACCAGCTTTATGTGCGCCGACCAGACACCCATATCCTGGTCCTGGCCGGCTCCAATACGGCCTGCGATGAGATCGCATTGCGTCTACTGCGCGCTATATCTAAAGTACCAAGTCAAGCGCGTCCTCTGACGCGTATTTTTGCTGCCAGCTGCGATAGACGCATAGATAATATTGATGACTTGCTCTTGGAATATTCGAATATGTACGCGCTACACTTTTACCCGGACGTGCAGGCGGTGCACGAGTATCGTATTGTGGTGTGCACTCTTAGTCTGGCGGGCAAGCTTTCGACGGGCGGCTTCGGTCGTGACGAAGACAAACGCAGCGTATTCACACATGTTTTTGTCGATGAAGCTGCGGCCTCTACCGAAGCGGAGGTGCTAATGGGCATTACCTGTACCGTTGCCCCAACAACCAATCTTATTTTATCTGGCGATCATAAGCAGCTGGGCCCGGTACTGCAATCGCAGCGTGCCAGCGATTGGGGTCTGGGCGTATCGCTTTTCGAGCGTCTACTCCAGCGCGAATGCTACCGTTTGGGCGAGAATGGTGATTACAACACCGCCGTACAGACACGTCTGCGGCGTAACTATCGTTCCCATCCCGAAATTGTTAAGCTCTACAGTGATCTCTACTACAACAGCGAACTGACATCGGAGGCGGAAATTGGTAAGTCTGCTTCACATGGACTAACTATTTGTTTAGTGACTGTAATAGTTTTGATTGTTTATAAAATCTTTGTTACAGGGTATTAAAGCTGATAGCAAACAATTCTTAGAGATTTGTATAACACATAATATATATAATATATATAATTTGGTTATAGACTTAAAAAATAATTCACATTTAATATGATAACAAAATATTATTTTCTTTGGACATTTTTTTTAGAAAAAGTTTGCATGGCTAGAAATTGGTTTCACACGCCCAATGATCATTTCCCTATAATGTTTCACTCGGTTTTTGGAACGACGATGAATTCGCAAAGCTCGCTGAGGTATGCTTCTCTCGATTTCAACTAATTCCCATATAAATAATCGTATTCTTCTGCTTGGCAGCCTGTGCAACAATAAGGAAATCGATGCAGTTATGGACTATGTGAAAGATCTAATGTACTTTGGTATCAATGGCGATAAATTGGCCCAAACGGATATTGGCATTATATCGCCATATAAGAATCAGTACCAGCGCATCCAGGAGCAGCTCAACATGCGCAACTGGCATCAAATTGATTGTGGCTCGGTTGAACTGTTTCAGGGCAAGGAGAAGCAAATAATAATTGTTTCCTTTGTGCGCTCATTCACCGAAAAATTAGGATTTCTTAATAATAGTCGAGTGAGTTTGAAAATTTTTATGATTGCTGTATGAACAATATTTTTTATGTAAATCAGTTTTTGATTAATTTCAGCGTTTGAACGTTTTACTATCACGTCCCATGTCTTTGCTTATCCTAATTGGTAATCCGCGCACGCTAAGCAAAAATCAGGAATTTCGTCATATTATCGACATGTGCAGGGATCGAAAAACGCTCGTCGGTTCACCCTATTATCCGGATGATAAGATTAACGAGGCGAACGGCGGTGCGGCTCAAGCAGTTAATCCGACGCGTTCTGGCTGCCATCAGATTAACAATCATAACAAAAAAAATAATAATCATAATTATCAGCAGCAGCAACAAACGGACGGAAAAACTGAGGACACTTTGGCACATTCATTGAAGCGAAGTAATAACAATCGTTGTCATAATTATCAATATCACCAAAGAAACCAAAGAAATCGTGATAGTGATCATAAATGCCTATATACAAATGCATATGCAGGATCTTTAGCATTTCGAATGATCCCATAATAGTACATATCTATATACATATATATATATATATGTATATATATATATATACATGTGTGTATACATAAGTATAGTATATATTTATATATAGATATGCATTTATGGATTGAAAACGAGTTGAATCGACCCAAAAATTAACAGATCTAAATTGTGTCAATAGCATGCGTTTTAGAAGTTTTCAAGATCGGCGTAAACAATCCCATTTCACATTTAACATCACATTCCACAAATCCTTTATAATATAATATATATGTACATGTATATATGTATAAATATATATATATAATTTTTTTGATATATATGTATATACGCACATAGATAGAGATATATGCATTCGCAACATATTGCACCTGGTTTCTGAAGCTGGGGAGCTATTGCAGTTACTGTCTATTTAAATAATAAATTGGCATACGCATCTTTTGATCATGTACGTGATATATGCATCTTTGGCTAATTCATTTTCGCACATATGCTGCTTATAGCGTTCACGTATCTCTTGTTTCTTTTCTTTCTTTTGGTGTACGACGAAATGTGTGAAACATATCCTTAAATGTATCATTATTTTCTATTTTTTTATTCAGCTAACGTACGCAGTACGCCTTTGTCGGCGGCTACAAAGATTGGCTACAATAAAGCTGAGCTGCTGTCAATGGGCGCCCAGGCGACTCAGCAGCACAAAAAATCTGATCTGGACCAGCTATTCGATGAGCTACCCAACGTACCGCGTTATGTGGACAATGACTCCGAAACCGTGCGCTCCATTCGAGCAGACATGCAGCGTATGTCTCTTAGTCGTCCGTCCACTGCGACTGCAACCAGCGAACCAGCGACAAAGGCTGCCCAACCGATTCAGCTAACCAAAACCCCAACACGTACCGAAACGGCACGGCCATCTGCTGAAGCTAAATATGTGGTCGGCGTTGAGGCGATCGATGTGGCATTCGCCCCTAGTGCACCGCCGGGTAGTCCAAGTCTGTCGCGTTGCACTCAGTATAACTACATACCCTCGGGTAATTTGCGCTTGGAGTCTGTCCGACCACCACTGGAGTACATATCTCCGCCGCCATTCTTCGATCAGGGGCGCTCTCCACCTTATTATGATTGGGCTATTGGAGCTCCAAGATCGCAGCCGCAGCCCAAGGAGAAGAAGAAAAGCACTTGTGCTATATCATAATTGCACATATATATTAAGATTATGTTGTTTTTTTTTTTTCATGAAGCAACATAACTACGAGGACTACACAGGACAATTGAGTACTTGTGTTAACCTCTTTGGACTTTTGCTGTATGTCGCATGCTGCAATCGATTGCATTCTGTCGGTCAGTCTGCATCAGTTGCAATATATTTCATGCAGCAAAAATTTTAAACGAATTTTCAGTATATAAACGGCAAATTCGCATTTGCTGAATAAACAGTATTAATGGCGTTTTGAATGCCAATTGTTAATTCGTCAGATGCGATTTTGTGTGAGTATATATATATATATATATATATACATGTACATGTCGATGAATCCCAATGAATTTCATCCATGTGCATGTTCACTAAAAGACAAAGCTAATTTGCTTAACAAATTGATTCTTTTTCGATATTTATAATTTGAAATTTCCAAATAAAGATAAGGGTTGGGGCTTTGAATTGTATGTGGCTCATTTTATGCTCCATTGTCAAACTAATTCATCCCTTTGAAATGATGAGAAAAAAGAATTGCAACATTAAAGTATATCTGAACTATCCATTTAATAACCGATAATTAACCAGTTTGTATTTTTTTAATATAAGAAAGATGGAAGGAAATCTGATCTATGTTACCCGAAATCTGCAATAAACTATATTTTTTGAGTAAAAATCGATTTTTATGGGCATGTAATTGGAATGTATGTAAGAGATAAAAATGATACATTTTTTTTTATGTAATTGAAGCTAATACTGCGATGTACATGTACAAAGGTACAGGGTCTTATTACCTGAATCCATCCCTGATCAAGAATATATGTGTATATTTTGTGGGGTCTGCCATGTGTCCTTCTGCCTGTTACATACTTTTCACAAAACCATTATACCCTGATTTTCCATTTTCCATGGGTTCAGGGTATGAAGAGACTTAGGATCAGAAAAGTGTAAAATGCTGATGCACAAGAGCATACGATAGGTTCGTAACTATAATACATTATTTAGTTTTGTCAAATACATCACATATAATGTAAAAACGTGTAAGCAACTAAGCTGGCTTTACGAAAGTAAAAGCTTCAAAACTCAGATAATTTTATTTCGTTGCAAAGAGGCCACATAACATTTTTTTTTAATACTGTATACATGGTTGAAGGAATTCAAGTAAATTCACGTAGCTCTTAAAATTATAATAAAGTGAAGCAATTGCTAGAATATTTAAGGAATCCGCAAAGATTGTGCGCCTAACGATCGACATTCACATTTGCAATATGACTGCGCGCGGTAAATTGACCACGCCCACTACAATGTCCGCGCCCATGGCTATGGCCCAACCGAGATTGAATTACAATCGGACCACAAATGAGACGTTGCGTGGCAACAGACTGGCGACGCCACTATCACCACACAAGACCGGAAGAGCAGGTCGATGCATCGGCGGTGATGGCGATGGTGGCACCGCTGCCTGGAAGAGAACCAAAACCACAGAGGTGTCAACTATAAGCCGCCTGGAGCTGACGGCACGGCTGGAGAAACCAACGATTGCCTCAACGTTGCGTTCGGCCAGTAATCGTGGCAGAGCTATCGCCCAAAAGGCAGCGGTTCCTCGCAAGCCAGCAACACCGAGAACCGAAACGAAGTGCTTAGATACCACATCAAAGCAAGGTATGCCGCGCAAGGCAGGTGGCATGAAAAAGGAAAGCTTAACGGAGGGACACCACGACTCCGCAAGGGTGGTGAAACACCCAATGTCAGAGACGGGTGTGCAAACGAATGAGGCGGAGATACTGAATCGCGATCTGCTCGTGGGAGATATAAAGCTCCTGTTGCCCTCCCCGGAGCTAACCAAAGAAATCGAACTGGCCCGGGCAGAGCAGAAGAAATCGTATAAATCAATGATACGTACATTTTCACCTCACGAGCAGGATGAGGAGCAGCACTTGGACGAGTTGAAGCAATACATGGAGCGCACTTATGTGACCAGGCGTAAGCCCAAAAAACCACCAATGCCGACGTTGGCCAACTATGAGCCTCATGAATATAGCAGCGTATTCGAGACGATGGATGAGTTCTTTACACGCGACGTACAGAAAGCCGAGTCCCTAACGAACATCAAAGACCGCATTAAGCGCAAGGAATTGGAATTAATGAGCATGTTCAACGAGGTGGAAGTTAGTGAAAAGATCGAATCTGATTCCGAAGCGGATTAGAATCAAATTTCTATAATTATGTAACTCTCAGATATATATTGCGAAAAAATGAAACAAATTAAGTGAATACAAAATAAATTCAAGTAAAATATTTGTCTTCATATTTTTTCAAATATGTAATCTTAAATTGATTCATTTTGATATCATTTTCTATATTTTCGTATACCTATTGGAAGAAAATATACGAATATATTTAACGAATTTTTTGCTTATCATAACAAGTAAGAAGGCTCTAGTTGACACTGCTCGACTAGGAGATACCCTAAGCCCTCTAAGCTGATATTTTTATCATTCTGTGTGCTTCTTTTATGCATCCACACATACATATGCAGTACTAGTACTTGAAATAATTTTTTACAAATTTTAGACGAAGGGGGCGTGGTACCCAAAATCTGTTGATTACAAAATGTTTGTATTCATCATATGTATATACACACCAAATGAAGTCTCCAGGTCTAATAGTATTCCAATGAGGCTCAAAAAAACAAAACCAATTTTTCGATTATTCCCGATAAAAAGCTATTGGATGAGTTATCGAAAAAATATGATAAGCTCGTACTGCGTATGGTATACAGTGAAGAACTAAATTATTGGCACAGCAAAATTTTTAAATCTTATAGCAATTTTTTAAGTATTTTGAAACGTTTTTTTAATGAAACAAAAAATTAACTAAGTAGAATAAAGTATTTATTAAGTTATACAAAAAAAATATTGCAAAAAACTTCATCGTACATTTTTTTAAAATTAAATAACCAAAAAAACCTAAATTTTGCTGAACAAAATTATGAACTATGTATGAACATACATCCAATACCAAGCAGCGCGAATACGAAGTTGGCCGGGACTTGCTAGACAGATGTTACGGCGTGGAAAACGTTGCTTCACATGTCTAGTCTATGTGTTGTTTGGTCAGTGGTATGGTATACATCAGCATTCACACAAAATTTCATTTCTCTAGCTCTTATATCTTTTAAGATCTCGGCGTTCATACGGACTCAACTCGTCGATCTGATCAAGAATATATATACTTTGTGGGGTCTGCCGCGCCTCCTTCTGTTAACCCTGAACCTCTGACTGACTACTGGTACTGACCAGACACTGGACCAGTGGTCAGTAGTTCAGGGTATAAAAACAAGTATGGTAAAAAAAAATGTCGCAAAAAAAAAATAGATAAATAAACTACTCAATATTTTTGAATCAAAAAAACATCATTAAAGATATGCCAATTACTAATAATTTGAAATTAATTGTACTAAATTGTAACCTAAGGTTTCACTAAAATCTGAGGTTTAACTCTTCATTTCAAAATCGACTTATTTTTTTGTACCGTGCGAACCTCTCGGTTTTTTTTTTATAATTATCTTGAAAAAGAACAAATGTCTAAAATCATATTTAGCACCAATAATTTATAATAAGCTCATCAAGAGCTAGAAGATGCCATTAAACCTATTTTACATGCAAAAAATACTTTACCTGCCATAGACCATTTAAAATACGCGCCGGAAATCGAAAAATGCAATGTTCTGTTATCGATAAGCAATGGAATAGAGTGATTCATCGCATTTAGCAGCTGTTCATTTGGTAATGCCGCTAATCATGCAATACCAAATTGGTATTTTCACACTGGGTTTGGTTGAATCGGACGCATTCTGACAATCTTTTCTTTTTTTTTTTTAATTTCTATAACATAAATTAAACTGACTAGTCGGCCAGTTTAATGTCAACCCACATTTAGAGAGTCTCATCAAGACTCTATTTTCACTCCAGAAACAGAACACCTATTGCTGTGCACTACGAATGCTGTAAGCATAGTAAAACATTTATTAAATATTCTTTCCAACTGCAGCGACCACATTTACACTCACAAACATATTCATATATATATATATAATATATATATATATATATGTATGTATTTATATAAATAGGTGAGTAAGTGAAGTGAAAAATTTGGCAAATGTAGCATGTGATTCACAAAAACTTCGTCCACCAACAGACAAAGATGACGCTTAAAGTTACGAAGCTTGCATTAACGAGTCGCCTCATCGTTCTGGCTGTCCAAATGTTGGCCAATTGGGCTGTGCCGGATCATAAGCCAGATGTATTTCGCATGCCAATGCCCATAGTGAATGCCACGGTGCCCGTACATGGTCTGGACACACTTGTGACGACCTGCTTGGGCGGCTTGAGGCACTGGGATGGCGAATACTTTCTGCATATAGCCTACTATTTGTATACTTACGAGAATACGCTGGCCTTCTATCCACTGTATCCAGTGCTCATACGGAATATGGCCATGGTTTGTGAGACCTTCAATGTGCCTATGTCGCGGCACGTTCTCATGCTATTAATCGCTGTCGTTCTTAACTTGTGGCTCTTCTGCAAGGCGGCCAATTACCTATATCAGCTGACGCAGCGTGTCTTTAATGATCTACACAAGAGCTGGAATGCGGCACTAATTTTTTGCTTCAATCCGGCGAGCATTTTCTTCAGTGCTGTCTACTCGGAGTCGCTGTTCGCTTACGCTAGCTTCATTCTGATGCTGGAATGTGTTCGGCCAAAGCAACAGTTTAATTTTGTACGCATTTGCGTCAGTTTGACGGCCTGCATCCTGTGCCGCTCCAATGGATTGATCGCCGTCGGCTTCCCGCTGTATTTCTTTGCGCGCCATATGATACTTACTGCAAACGTGAAACGCTGCAAGCTACTCATCAGTATGTCACTGGCAATAATCATCCCATTAGGCGTCTTACATGCCTACTACTTTTACATATATCGGATGTACTGTATGCCCAGCACTAGAGTGAAGCACCCAGAGCAGGTGGTGCATTACGGAGACGATAGGAACTATCTGCTTGCCGGAAGGGGGCCGGAGGGATCGCCTTGGTGCCAGTATACCTTGCCATTCCCCTACAATTATGTGCAATCTACCTATTGGGATGTCGGCTTCTTGCGCTACTATCAGTGGAAACAGTTGCCCAACTTTTTGCTCGCAATGCCCATGTTAGTCTTTATGCACTGGCACTGCTTCGATTATTTTTGGTTTTGGGCCACAAAACTGACGCCTCAGGCTTCAAGCTGGCGGGAGTTGTTGAAGGCACAAAAACCGCTACCATTTGTTCTGCATGGCGCCTTCTTGACCCTCGTCTGTGCCCTGTTTGTGAACATTCAAGTGTCTACGCGTTTGTTGGCCTCGGCCACGCCTATTTTTTATTGGTTTGCTGCTGATCATATGCCAAAGTCGCTGGCGCAACTCTCGTTCCGCTCAAAGGCTGGAGCTTTATTTATCTGGTGCACCACGTATTGTGCTTGTGGCACGATTCTATTCGCCAACAATTTCCCCTGGACTTGAACACTAGCTATATATTTATATATATGTATTGGTCTGGCATTTATATGTATGTATATGCATATATGCGGATGTATATATGCACGCTATTTTTTATTATTATATGCCAAAGACTGTATTAGCATTGGATTAGTTTGTAGATATTTTTATAGGTGACCACATGTTTATCAGGAAATGACAACCGAAAAGTAATTGCACTTATAGATTAAATTTAATAAATGTTTAAATCCGATTTTTGCGGGCACACACATGCTGATACGTTAATTTTTCGAGAACGGCCCAAATATATCGATTAGCTTTCTTTACGTACCGTATCGAAATAAAGATTATGATCTCCCAACGTATTTTACAAAGACTTAAGTTTGTAGAAAGTAAATATAACTATTGTGGGGTATTTTAATTATTTATGATGTAAACTATTTTTATTAAAGCTCATTCAAATTAAATATTTAATATCCCTAACTATAGTTCTATGGTTAGTGGTATATTATTATAATGTGTTTTTATGCTTAAAATAAATAAATGCGCCATGATATAAAGTAATAGTTTCAATCAGTTCTTGCAGCATATATTCTTTCACTGGTGAGAATTGGTCTGCGAGTTAGTTATCAGGAACTTAGGTTATTTGTTTTTCAAAAATTACAGAATAAAGTACCAAATAGATTGGAAAATATCGCATTTAAAAGGAAAATCTTTGCAGCACAAACATCGATAATTTAATGTAAGGTTGCAAAATATAAATAAATCGATTAGGTTGTGTACAAAATAGACCAAAACTAAACAAGAAGAAGTTCTCTTGTGGAAAATACGAAACGCGCCACAAAAATGGAACAGCTTTCGGGTGTTATGATAATCATTATCATAGGTGGTGGCGTGCTGACTTTTGTGATGCTCTTCATATTCGCAAAGCGCCAGATAATGCGGTTCACGCTTCGTAGTCGTCGCGGTCCCCATGTGCCAGTTGGCAATGATGCCAAGAAGGCGCTGCGCCGTGAAATTGAGCGCAGGTTGGACTGCATACAAAAGATAGCACAGGAGCCAAAATTGCTATGGACAGATACCGACAAGTATATATTGCAGCCAGGTCCGGAGCAGGAACTACCGCCCTATTATTATCGAATGAAGGCCGTGGACGATGTTAAATTGGTAGAGGCGGAGATAGCGCGTGCTGATGGCAGCATGCGGCACGCCCATGAAAGCTTGCGAGCCTTTCTCTTAACAACGCTCTCCGTTACGCTCAATGGTACTGGGCAGCGCATAATACATCAGTTCTGCGACACATACGAGCACGCACGACATGATCCAAACGAATTTGGTAAGGACGAATACGAGGCCTATCATCATATGCTCCTCAAAGTACTGGAAGCGTAAGTGCGCCCTATTCGTTCGTCGATTAAATGAAAACTTAATCTTTTTTCCTTTTTTCATAGTGCGAAGCAGCTTAAAAACTACAATTCTAGAAAGGCTTCACCTGCACGTACACCACGTAAACAGAAAATGCATTCGTTGCTCGATCCAGCTCGACTGCGTCCGCCACCCGTAGTAGAACAACCACAGAACAACGAGCTAGCAGCGGGTCAACATGCCAAAGTGAACATGACGCTGGGACTGCAGGGCGATGAACTGGTGGCTGCTGAGCTGGCCACCAATCCTTTGCACTTGCAAGCACCTGCCGAGCGAGATCTTATAATAAGGAACCGTATAAAGACACCTACACTAGATGATATTGTGGTCGAGACGGTGGTGGAGCAGACTCATGACGATGCGAATATCAGCACTGCGGAGCATGAAATAATGAGCATCTCATCGGTGCAGCTGCAGCGTAACTCGAGCGTTGTTTAAGGTAAATTGCTTCGATCCATTAACCAATATTGATTCTAAATAGTCATACTACTTTAAAAATTATTGCATTTACTTTTATTAGCATTTGTCCATCTTTTGCGAATATAAAACTAAATCGAGTAAACGACACGAGTAGCCTGTCTCATTGTCATACCATGAAATCAGCTTTACAAAATTATCATTCAGTGCAATGCACGCATTGGCATCAAATACTGAGGCATAGCGTGAGCCATTTATGTCTGATGAGACGACAGAGTCTTCTGTGTAGCCCAATATGCCTTTCATTCCACCCTTGGAAGCTTCTTTGATAGCTGCCTTGATCTGCTCCATTTTAGCTGAACATCCCAAACGACAGGTCAAATCGACAACGGAAACATTTGCCGTGGGCACCCGAAAAGCCATACCGGTTAGCTTACCATTCAGGGAAGGTATTACCTTTCCAACAGCCTTGGCAGCTCCTGTGCTGGCGGGGATTATGTTGCACATTCCGCTGCGACCATCACGCCACGCCTTAGCACTGGGTCCATCTAAAATTTTTTGCGTGGCTGTACAGGCATGGACTGTCGTCATCAAGCCTTCCACAATCCCAAAATTATCATGCACCACTTTGGCCACAGGTGCAAGGCAGTTGGTAGTGCATGAGGCATTTGATATGATCTTCATGTCTGGCTTGTACTGGTCTAAATTAACGCCGCACACAAACATTGGCGCATCCGACGACGGTGCAGAGATTACCACTTTCTTTGCACCGCCGTCTAGATGCACTTTGGCAGTTGCCAGTGTGGTAAATCGACCAGTACAATCAACGACCGTATCGACTGAATTTTCTTTCCAGTTTATTTTTTTTGGATCCGCTTCGTTAGTGACGTTTATCTTTAAGCCATTTACCATCAGAGTCTTTCCATCAATGGTAATCTTCTTCTTGAACGGGCCATGCGACGTGTCGAAACGTAGCATGTAGGCCATATATTTGGGTTCCATGGCTGGATCGTTAATTGCCACCACTTGTACATCTTGTCGCCTGATTGCCTCCCGTAGGAACAAGCGCCCGATGCGGCCAAATCCATTGATGCCAATTGACATAACTGCTAATTTTTATAATTAGGTTATACAAAACAACGACTTGGTTTCTGTATGTGCACAATTTTATAAATTGCCTTCTTTTTGCTCAAGTTACACTTCTAAGAATTTGAAAAAATTTGAAAGTTTAAGGTAAAGCAAATCAATAACTAATTTATTTAAATAATTTTTCATATCAACTTGACATACTTTCTAAAGCTTATATGATTTATTTTCGTTTATTTGCAGACATTCCCAGATGCCAGATCGCTTATCTGCATAAATCCTAACCAAAGTTGAGATAAATAAATTGGGCGCAGCGAATGTTATTTATTTCTGATAGGTTTTCGTGTATGTTATATAATTATGTTCATATAATTTTAAGAAAATTACCTATATATAAGCAATCGAATCTAATTGATCGACATTACTGGGACTATGTAAATATAATTATAATTATTTGATCATAATTTATTTGTATTTAAACGTAAGGAATAAAACTCAGTTTAATTATATTTCTTTTGTTTCCCTCTACTTTCGCATACGTTTAGTAAATATGTCATAATTTAAAGATCATGTATTAAACAATTTTTAGAAAGCACGTTGTTCCTCAAATGCTATAAAGAAATTGCGAACAAGTGGAGATAGAGAATTAAGAAATATTCAAATGAGTAGGCATATGGTCTCTATTTCATAGTCGTTAGATTACTAATTTTCTATGATACCCTCGGATTCAATTTAGCGCGTCTAATTGAATTGAATTGGCCCAATCTTAAACCCCCTCTTTCCTTTTCGTATCAAGTCTAAATATAGGGTTATAAATTAAGAGATACGACAGCTTACGCCATTTATAAATAGTATTTCATTGATCTTATGTGAAGTCTTAAAATAAGTCTTGGCCTAATGGCATAAGGCTTTTTGATGTTCAATTTCTGATCCAGGATATGTGTTAAGATGTGGACTTTATTTTATAAAAATTAAATATCCATTGTGCTTGGTTTGCCATTGGTCTATTGTTTAACGATTTGAATTATTCTAAGTAGGGTTGGCTATCCCTCAGATATCTACAGCTTTACTCAATGACTCAATGAACATGAAGCACACATAAATGTTTGCCAATTTTTGCGGTTTACCAAGCGAACGGCGCACACATGAAAGATTTTTGCGAAATCTATTACAAGTGTGTACAAAGAGTGTTTATGTGTGTGCGTGTGCTTGTCCGTATTGTGTTTTCTAGTCGGTATTTTGGGAATGCTGCTGGCTAAAAGTGGGGAAATCCATGTGTGAACAGCAGAGCCTGCTTGTGTTCATGCAGACGGCGCAAACACAAATCAAGCTGCAAGTCGTAAAAATTTTCAAGGGAAGCCTTCCGGAAGGTTTTTGGTATACAAATTGATGTTTGCTTATTGCATCGCCTGCAGATGCCTCAGTCTCAGCAGCCTGCGCATAATTAACTGACCAAGCCTTATAGAAAGCCAAAGCAGGAATTGATAAAGGACTTGCGAAAACTCTAACGAAATGCGTCAAAAAATATGGCAGAAGGCTCTAGTCGAGATCGCTCGACTAGGAGATACCCTGAACCCTCCAATCTGATATTCTAATCATTCTGTACTTGTTTTATGCAAATATACATACATACAAACATACACATGCATCCACACGAACGTGGGCTGCGCTGCAGTGTTGGCAATATTATGAGAATCTATTTGTCCTAGACGTACAATCCTAATGAAACTTTCAGAACGTAATCATAATGTTCAAGTGTATGTACATTCCAAAGCACAAGTCAAGTATTTGAAATGCGTTTTTCACAAATTTTAGGCGAAGGGGGCGGGGTATCCAAAATCTGTAAATTACAAAATGTTTGTATTCATCATATGTATGTATATTCGATTATTCTCTATAAAAAGTTTTCAGATTATTTATCGAAAAAATAAAGCAAACTCGTACAGCGTATGGTATTTCCCATTTTCAATGGGTTAAGGGTATAAAATTGCTGGGAAAAATTTAGTGAGTCCCATTGAATATTTAATCAAAGCTTTGATGTTTAGTTGACAAAAAACTGAAAATAAAAGAATAAGTTTTGGCTTGAGCTCCAGTAGACTCATCGACATACTCTACGTTCCTATTAGCCTTCCGTCTATCTACCATCATTGCATAGTCGCTTTCGTCTAACAGTTCTTGCTTAAACATTTAACTGGCGCTTTGTTAGTCAGCAACATTTTATGGTGAGACACACAACTGCTTATAAATCAATCGAGTGAAGCCAGCTGCCATCCATATGCCGAGTCCGGAGCCGCAGCCGGGATCGGTGTTGCTGTTGGGCCGACTGCGAGGCCGGGGCGAAGTCTGTTCGTACAAAATGCAAATGCGTGTCCATAGAACAACGCACACAAAATCAGCTGCGTTGCTGTGCCGTGGGCGCCATTATTCACCTTTGTCTGCCAAACGGCCCTCCATCACCCCCATGCATAGCTGATGTATCGAAATTTCGCTTGCCGAAACAGAGCCCCAGGGGCAGAGTTTCTGTTGAGGGGCCCAAACCACTTTGTATGAAGAGCTAAGCACTCTCAAGCATTTCGAATGAAAGTTTCTGCGCGTCGAAGTTTATGAGTTGAGCTGTTGGCCAAATGCATACAACAGCCAACTTAAAACCTTCCACTTTAATCTATAGATTGTCAACTTTACATTGTTTCGCAGCTTGTGCAACATGTTGCCAAAAGTGGTGCAGCATGTTGCCAGGGGTGCGACGCCCACGCAGCGCGATTTGCTCTCTCTTGTGGTAGCTGTGGACTCTCCTGGCACTGGCCGAGGTGAATTCTGACCCCGGACCTAAAAATGGGCCGCCTATTACGAAATTGCTGAACCTAACAGCATAAGTTTTAGTCAACATATTATATTCATATTTATATATTGAAACTATTCTATTTCTGATCCGGTCTGATCATAAGCTCGAGCTAAATGGAAATTGAGTCATGCTAACAGCTCGGTAACGGAAGCATGAACTTTGTTGCATTCCCTTTGCTTGTATTTTATTTTAACTGCTCAAATTTATGCGCAAAACTTTAAAATTGAAACTGTTTTTCGTTCCGACTGCAGCGACACGAGCAAAGTTTTGCATTAAAAATTGCATCAAGTGTACGCCAAGGTTAAATCCAAGCAAGTTTTTATGCCAACTGTTTGGCCAAGTTGAAAGCAACATTTTCCTTTGTTTAATGATGCTTCATTTATTTATGTTGAATATCGCCCACGCTCACTAAAAGTCGGATGGCACGGAAAAGAAAACAAAGGTTGAAGTTTTTTGGCCCAGTGAAAATTTCAAATTTCAGTCTTGCGAAGAATTGACTTAAAGAGAGTTTAATGAAGTCATAACTGAAAATATCTAAAACATATGTAAACGTTTGTTTTCGGTTTAAAACATATTATATTATATGTTTATAAAAAAAAAACAACACCGCTTCTCTACTGGAAACTTGTATAAACTAAATATATACACAATTGTTGATTTCGCTAGAATGACATTCGGGTAGCTTTCAAATTGTTTCTTGACTTGAAATAAAACATTAAATTTTAATAATTTAATAAAATAGTTTAGGAGTTGTCTAAACATCAATGACTTTTCTGTAATGAATCAATTGAAATGCACAATATTTATGCTTAATACATATTTAAAATTTATTTTAAATGTTTCTTCAGTTGGGTCGCAGTTAAATGCGTCTCTCGGGTGCCTTTACAACGTATTTATGGGCCACTTGTTGTATCGGGCATGGGAACTAAATAAAAGAGACAAGATGAGGATGAACATAAATAGAGCATCTTTAGGAGCCAATAACATTTAAGTCAATAGCAATAAATTGGTTGGGTTGCGAGCAGGCGTTGACAAAGGCTGAATTGTTGGCAGCTTAGCTGATGCAGCTAGAGCAGTACGCCGTGGCTTAATC